AATAACACATATTGCATATGTAATTTGTATTTTATAATTTATTTTATATTTTTTAATATTCATACAACACATTGACTGGCTGCTCCTATACATTACAATAACTATTCATAAGTGCAATTAATCATATTTCAAAGCCAGTCAAAGCCTCGCTGCTACAGCACTCAAAGTAGGTTCGCTGCGGCTCTCTTCGATCGAAGCTCACTCAGCTAAGCATTAATGTCTCTACTCTCATGGGAAATTTGCTCCGCTGGAAACGAATAGAAGACCACATGTGGACTGCCGCCAGCTGTGGGGTTCAGTTCGTTTTGTGTGCTCGAGCAACACTGGTTCGGCTTCTCCACCTTTTTTTTTTTTCTTTTGCCGGCTCCCATTCAATTAGAATCTATACTTCTCGTGAGTTGTTGTTGATCTACTGGTGTACGGCGAATCTGACATAATTGAATTAGGTTTAAGTAAATGTTAATGTGTTTGTTGCTTTGAGTGGAGCTTTTTGCGGAGCTATTTATAAAAGCAAACAAAAAGCACGTGTAATGTTCCAACACTCGAGTGTATATACATACATATAAATATATGTATACATAAATATATAAAATATAGATTAAAGGGCATTGAATTCAGCTGTGCAGTTGTTCCAGGCATTATCAATATCAAGAACAATTGTGTTTATTATATGTGTTTGCCTCAGCTGACTCGACTGACATTCAGGTCAGTTTTTGAATATTAATGCAGAGTTTATCAATTTCAATATGATAATGCAAATAATTGTATTTTAATTGACGTTTTTCTTGTTGCCGTATTCGGGCCTGTCTGGCCTGACTGGCCCAAAGTAGGCAGGTTGACAGCAACAGCAACAGCAAAAGCAACAGCAACAGCAAATATGCAAATTTAAGCAAGTCAATTTTCAATCCAACAAGCGCTCACATCCACATCCAAATCCAATTTTCGCCATCCGTAGAGCACCGTAAAATGGCTAGCAACAACAGCAACAACATCGTTGACCTGCGCTCGGACACCGTCAGCCAGCCGACACCGGAGATGCGTGCGCGCATGGCCAGCGCTGTGGTGGGCGACGATGTCTATGGCGAGGATCCCACTCTCGCCGAGCTGGAGGCAAAGACAGCTGCAATATTCGGCAAGGAGGCTGGCCTATTTGTGCCCAGCGGCACCATGGGAAATCTTTTGGCCGGTAAGTGGCACGACGTGCACATAAATAACACAGGCCGGCAATTTAGGGACCGACGGCCTCACAAAGGGGCCGCAGCCCCTCGGACACGTAAATGCATATTAGTTTAAAGCGAGCCCCCCTCAATATATATGTATATATATACGAATAATTCGCTCTGTTCCGCTGATGTTTATTAGCTTAAAGGAACCGACTTACTTTGCGGAAAGTGAAATTGAAACTTTTAGCGGAAACGAAAACAGAAACAAGAACAAACACAAACAAGACGGCCATATCATGCATCAGGCTCATAATCGTTAAGGTTAAGGGCACGCCCATAATCATAACATTTATTTTTATGGACTTTAGTGTGGGGCGTGGGCGTGGACGTGGGCGGCTGCAGTGAGGTAAACTTCTTGGCTGCTTAGTGCCCATCCCACCCAAACTAATATTTCTAATGGCATCGCCATTTTATTAAAGTCGAATTCGCTGGGAGCCCAGACTACCCCAAGCCGTTTCCTATGAACTAACTGAAATGAAATTCATATTTGCTTGCAGTTATGGTTCATTGCAGTCGACGTGGCTCGGAGGCCATCGTGGGCGATTTATCCCACATATTTCTCTATGAGCAAGGTAAGGTAGTCCGGCGTAATAAATATAAGCTACTACTACGGCCGCATCTTGAACCCACTTAGGTGGCTCGGCGCACTTGGCTGGCGTGCAATTAGCCCAGTTGAGAAATCTGCCGGATGGCACCTTCAGCCTGGAAGAGCTGCGCCACAAGATACGCCAGTATGAGGACTGTCACGAGCCAGTCACCTCTCTGGTCGTCGTCGAGAACACCCACAACATGTGTGGCGGCAAGGTGTTGCCGCTGTCCTATCTGGACGAGCTGGTGTCACTGGTGCGCGATTCGGGCTTAGGCGTCGTACGCATCGGCCTGCACATGGACGGCGCTCGAGTGTTCAATGCGGCCGCTGCTTTGGGTGTCAGCGTTGAGCGCATCGCTCGGGGCTTCGACTCGGTGTCGGTGTGCCTGAGCAAGAGCTTGTCCGCTCCAGTGGGCTCCGTATTGGTGGGCTCCAAGAAATTCATAGCCGAGTAGGTATTGCATGGATTTATTAATTATTATTTACCTAATTCTACTACGCCTACCGCAGAGCTCACCGACTCCGCAAAGCCTTGGGCGGTGGCATGCGACAGGCGGGTATTCTGGCGGCTGCAGGATTGGTGGCCTTGGATGAGGTGGTGCCACTGCTAGCAGCAGACCATGAGCGAACCAAACGCATAGCGAATAGTAAGTCTACGTCCGTTCGCTAATTCATTTCATTCTCACATTTCCCCCCAAAGGCATTGACCAGCTGCACAGCCCCAATGTAGTTGTGGACTTGGCGACTGTGCAGAGTAACATTTTGCTGATACAGATTAAGCAGCCAAAGCTGACTGCCGGCCAGTTTGCGGAGCGCCTGGCTGTCATCGAGCCCGAGGAGTTGCTGGCTGGCGTAACGGGCAGTAATGGAGCAGGCATTGTGCTCAAGGCCAGCGCTCGCAATTGGGAGTTTATGCGCTTAGTGCTGTATCATCAGGTGGACGACGAACAGGTGGAACTAGCCATTAAGAAGCTTAGCTACGTCATCAAACAGTACGATGCCCGTTGGCCCCGAGCCCTGGACTAGAGCAGTTTTAAAATCGTATTGACATATCGAAAGTTGCACGAAAAAAGAAAGAAATAGAAATTTGATTTCATTCTGGTCATTTAATTAAAAACCAAAGAAAAAATCTGAAATCTGATGAAATTCGTATTAGTGTTTCTTGAGTGGTTCGAGGCAACGTTTACATTCACGCATGACTGCACCCAATCATAGGGAGCATCGTCTGATAGTCCTGATGGACTTCTATTGCCGTTGCCGCTGCATGGATCCGTCTGCATGAATGCCCCACTGAATGAAGTAATAAAATTATTTTTAAAAAATCATTGTCAATTTCGCTATGCTCATCGATTTAAAAGCATGCGCCGCCGCAGCACAGTCGACGCAAGACGTGGGCATCCCCAGCTGGCTCCTTCTTGCTTGTCGACGGACTTTTGTGATTTATAAGCGCACTTATCAATGTGATTGCCAAGCGGCAGCCCGGCAACAGTGGAGCAAATCGAGCAACATATAATAGATTAAGGTATCCTGTGAAGATGCCCCTTGTGATGCTCGGCTCTTCGCATTGAAAAGCTTTATGCTGTGCATAAAACCTAAATAGAATTCAATTAAAGAGGCATTTGATACATACAAAATTCCTTCAACTATATATACAAGATGGATCAACTATAAAGTCACATATATTCGTAAAAGTAATTGAAATTGGAATTTACTTAATGCAGCTCTAATAACAGCAGTTTCACCTGAACAGCCTTAAAGTATGCCCTGAATTTAAAGTTCTTGGAAATGCAATGCGCATATAAGTAGGCTACGGATTAAAGTTTCGTTCAAGAGCGAAAGCACACACGCGTGAGCTTTTAAAGAACAATGATAGAGTGGTGTGTGCGAGAGCGAGAGAGACATATATAGAGAGAGCGTGGCATGTCTATAAATAACTATCAGACATGCAACGCTGAAGGCGAGGTTAGGGCGCGAAAACTCATGTTTGTTGGTGTTGCCATCACTTTGCGTGTGTGTGCGAGTGAGAGAGATAGTAGGTATGTTGCCGTTCTTAAATTAACTTAAAGTTAATGCTTAATTCTTTTACTTTTTTTCGTTTGTTAATTACAATGATTTGGCCAACCCCATTCAACATGTCAGGATGGCCGAGCGGTCTAAGGCGCCAGACTCAAGATTGAAAAGTCTTGCCTTTTTTTTTAAGGTTGTGATGAGCGTTCTGGTCCTCTCTGAGTTTTTTTTTTCGTTTTTTTTTTTTGACAAAGTTTTTTTTTTTTTTTTTTGGAATTTTTTTTTTTTTTTAAATTTTACTAATTTATATATGCAATTGAAACTTGTAATTTACAAACGCTTCATTAGCACTTGCTGCTAATTAGCTCAATTATCTGAATAGATGCAATTCTTTAATTATCGCATGAGCACTTAAAGCGAAATTTATTTGTTCTAATTAAAACGAAATGTTTGATTGCAATCGATAAAGTTAAGCTTGAAGTAATTAAATTATAAATAAACACGCATGACATTTTCAATTAAATAACGTTTCAATAAGCCTAAGCGGACATTTTCAATGCAAATTTCCCATTTAAATGGTCGTTAGCTTATTTTTATTGTATTTGTTTTTCTTTTAGTTGTTGTTGTTATTTCTGTGTTTTGTACAGGAGACGAGGTTTTAGCTTTATTAACAACGCCGTTTGACGGCACGTGCCAGGAGCCGGCATATTTAATGTGTTTAATATGGTAGAAAATACATGATGTATGGGCTCTAAAAAACTTCGGTTCTCATGGCTTGCCGAGAACTGAAAACGCAATACCGACATTATGAAAACACTGTCGTGTTACACCTAAATGACAAACAGTCATGAAATAAAGTCGTAAACTGTGAGCTAAAGCGAGCCCCATATCAGCGAAGGACCCAGCCAGGCTGCGAGGTAGCCAGCCAGCCAGCCTGAGCTGCAGACGAAACTAAACGCAAATTGAAATTTGCATAAAGTGGCGCCTCGAATGATGATTCAATAAGCGAAAATCAAATCCGTCTTCCATCAGTTTTTATGTGTTTCTGTGTTCTATTGTCGAAAAGCCATTTGCCCGTTTGATGGGTTCCTGGACCGCGGTAATTTAATTAATTGCATGCGCGCAAATAAAACTAAGCTATTTTCTATTTAATCAATGAAAAGCAAATTATATGAATCGAACCCAAACTGGTGGCCAGAGGGAGTAAGTGCCAGAAACCAGTAACAAAGCAGAAGAAGACCAAGAAGAAGAAAGACTTCGAAGTACCCGTCAGTCAGGCCAACTAATAGCAATTCGTATGTCGGTAAAAATATATTGTAAGTGAAGGCGTGTCTCACTGAGTATGACGTGTTTGCTGCCAATTTCCAAAGCCAACAAATTGACGATGAGCTAATGTCTGAAAAATATGAACTTTCATGATTTTCATCAAGATAAACTATGCATGTGCTATTTGAGATTTTCAAATCTGATTGGAATATCTACATATTTTTCTTTTCTATTTACTATTTGCATACTGCATTTTTTTGATAGACGATGTTTGCCAAATATTAATTTGAGTAGTTTTGCATTGAATATTTGCATGTTTTTGGCGCTGCATAGCTTCAGGCTGTATAGGAATTTAAATTAAAAATTATATTTTTTCTGTTTATTGCAAATTTTTTATTTACGTGTATCATTTTTTGTTACGGCAAGAACTTAAAGTAATTACTAAATATTTGAAATATTTTATGCGCAATATTTACCTAATTGATGGACACACTAATTGAGGCATAGCTAATAAGAGTCTCAGCAATATATGACTTATATGTATGTGAAAATTTAATTAAACTCAATTCACAGCTTGCCTTGTGACAGCTGATAGTTGACTTAACACTCTCAGCTAGACGGAAAATTCATTTAAGAAATTTAAATTTAGCACTAATTTAAATGTCTAAATACGAAGTAGACAACGTCTTGAGGGCCCAGTGTAATTGCAGGCATAGTTGTTGTCGGAAATGCAAACATGTTTTGGCTAATGCACAAGGGGCTCTGTCTGGGTGTGGCTGGCACTGGCCTATGCACACATCTATTCGTATGGATGAGCTAGGGCTGGCTCGGTGAGCCGAGTAAGACATTAATTTACTGGGCTGAGCTTCCGGCTTGGCCGGACTGCCACGTGCATCAGTCACCCGCATAAGGCACTGCCGTTGCGTGCTCTGTGTAGATTTGAAGCGCAACACAAATGAAGGCCTCATGACTCGAATCGACTTTCTTCTCGGCCAATACCATAAAGTGCACATGGCGCAGGGCGCAATGGGCTGGCAATAAATGTCTGTTCGGTCTGCTCGCATTCGCGTAGCCAATGCTCCTCGGCTCGGCGCATATTTTATGGCAACTAACTGAGAGCTCGCACCGGGGCCCGCTGGGCGCACACGGGCGGCGGCAACTTAATTAGCTGTTGCCAGCGGCTTCGATTGCGAAGTGCAACTGCAACTGCCACTGCAACTGCAACTGCATTGCACCTGACATTTAACATTATTACGCAGCGCCTGTCGCATATATTACGATGCCCGATTCGTGCTGCAAGCAGCTGTTAGCTGGCAACTGGCAACTGGCAGCGGCATCGGCAGCGGCATCGGCAGCGGCAGTGGCAGCTGGCTGCCATTGCATGTGGCAATAAACTTGCGCTTTAAAGTTCGGCTGTGCCGCGTTTGAACGGCATTAACCGAAATGTGCACAACATTGACGCCATTCGAAATGCCACACCATTAGGGCAGCAACGGCCGTGGAACTAGAAGCCAACGCCAGCCGCCATAAAAATAAACGCTGGCAACACTTGTGACTCTGGGACTGTGGTGTGGCGCAAACTTTGCGTGTTTCATTGCATTTCTTTGCATGTTGGTGAGAGGGTGGGAGGGGGCAGAAGGAGGCGCGGCAGTCGCCGGTCGGTAGTCGGCAGTCGGCATTCGGCAGTTGAAGAAGTTCACTTGAGTGTTCGATGGGCGCAGCTGAATTACAATTCATTCGAGTTCAACGAATTTAAGCTCTTGCCCCAATTTAAAGTAAGCAAATGCGAAAATCAAAAATAATTAAAGTAATGCTGGCTTTTCCGCTTAAGAAAAACCCTCCAGGCCCTTCACAATATCTCCCCCACATTAGTTTCTCCTGAGGTTAACTACCAAGTGCTTGGCGCTAGAGGACTTTTCTGCACATTTATGCTTATTATTGTATAAATCAAGGCATAAGCTTGTATATAAACTTTTTACACGTAAGTCGACTGTGCTGGGGCGCCCAGCTAGCTATGCATACATACATATGTATATGGCTGGCTGGTTAACACTGGCTGCTTGGCTGCCTGGCCTGCTCCCCCAGGGCTAAGGGAACACTCGGCAGCCACGTAAATTCATATGTAAAATTCTTGTGATGCATATTTGTAGGATTATAAAATGTATTTGGACAACGGCAGCAGCAGCAGCACCAGCAGCAACAACAACAACAAAAGGCAGCAACAACCACAGGAGCAAAAGCTATTGCAATAATATCGCAGCCAAGCGCAAACTTTTTTGTTCAATTCAACTTGAGCAGGTGTGTGTGTGTGTGTGTGTGTGCGTGTATGTGTGTGTTAGGGTGTTGCGATTGTTGCATTGCCGTTATATTTCAATGGCAAACTTCACCGGACATGCTTCATAGCTCTAATTATACATGCGCCTTCCTAGAAAACGACTTCCTACGAGGGCTGCACCAAGAATAACAAAAGCTATTGGGGCTGCCAATGTTGTTGTCGTTGCTCTTGTTATTGTTGTTATTTTATGCATGTTGTTGCTATATGCATGTGTGTTACTTGCATGCTTTGTGTTTGCGTTTAGCAGCAACTTTGGCTCTCTGCCAGCGCCAACGTCAACGCCAACGCCAGCGCCAGCTTTTGCGGCGCAGCAGAGGCAACGGGTCGTATGGGCAACTTCGCCCATTTCTCTTATTTTTATGCCCGATACAAACTCTGTTTGAGAGGACATACATGTGTGTGTGTCTGTGTGTGCAACT